TCTTATGTCCATTGGTTATGCTTATATGCATGCATACAAGTCCTTTGGTTGATCTCTTACCCCCCAGCACTCTATATATTAACTCTTTTAATCCTCACAAACTCGAGAGGCAGCTACTACGATTAACCCTGTTTTTCTAAAAGACGAGCTTGAGTAGCTGGCGAAGAGCCATACAGCTCAGTGCAACGCTGGGACTGGAACCCCGGCAGCCTGACCACCTGAGCCCCACACTCGAGCCTTCACCAGTGCCTCGGGCTGGCTAGCAGGCTGCCATGCGCATCCGCTCCCCACCCGCACGCTTTTCCTCCTTCGTGGGTGTTTTTTTCCTCTCCTTTGCAATGAGTTGCCCAGGGTTCCTTGTTCCAGCCCAAGGCGTTGGGGATTGCTGAGTCACTGGGGCAGATCGAGAAGCTGAGTCACTGGGGCAGCTGGAGAAACAGCCTCAGCACGGCTTCCTCCCCCTCCTGCGCTGAGTCACCCCAGGGCGGGCCCGCGGCACCTAAGATGCCACATCCTTGCAGCTCCTCACCTGAGATCAGCCGTTCAGCAGCGATTACATCGAGCGCCCACCCTACCGAGTGCCAGGCACTGTGCTAGGCTGCGGTCGCCACGGGAACTAAGGGGTCCGGGTCACTGATGTTCTAACGGATCATGAACCCCAAATGGTGAAGAAGATAAGAGGGTGACTTGGGAGAGGTGGTGTTTGAGCCCAGTGGTCTGAGGGGTGACCTCCCAGCGGAGGGCTGAGTGGGGAGGAGGGGCCGGCCCTTTAGAATGAGCCAGACAAGGGTGGTGCTTCCTCCGAAAGTCGAACTTGGAGTCACCGTAGGACCCAGCACGCCCACTGCTAGGGGTAGACCCCGAAGAATGAAAGCAGGACCACGTGGAAACCTGTACCCGGATGTTCATACAACCCCGTTCACACAGCCTAAGGGTGGAACCCCCCCACCAGGTGCCCCTCAACTAGTGGACACGCAGACTGCGGCCACGACGCCTGTGCTTCCCCCATAAAAGGGAAAAAGCTCGGCAAGTGCTACAACCTGGGTGAACCTCGGAAACACGCGGCCGTGAAAGACGCCAGGCACCAAAGGCTCCGGGTTGTAGGGTTCCTTTCACGGGATGTGTTCAGACTAGGCCCCCCACCCACCTACAGACAGACAGACAGACAGACAGAGAGCGCTCAGGGCTCACACAGCGTGGGGAGGGTGCTGGGAAGGGCCTGCTCTAATGGTGCAAGGCGTTTCACGGGGGACGAGAACGTTTTGAAACTCGAGAGGCCGGGTGGGTGTGTAACGTTGTGGATGCGCTAAGGCCAACGATGTGTCCACTGGGAAGCGCTTAGCTGTATGTTGTGTGAGTTTCACCTCGTTTTTAAAAATGTTTTTATTGCTTTTTAGAGAGAGAGGAAGGGAGAGGGAGAAGGGGGATAGAAACATCGATCGCTGCCTCCTGCACGCCCCCTACTGGGGATGGAGCCCAAACCCGGAATCAAACCAGCCACCTTTTGGTACATGGTTGCTGCTCACAATGGCCTGGCTCACCGAGCCACACTCAAGGGGCCAAAGAGCCGCATGTGGCTCGTGAGCCGCAGTTTGCCAACCACTGGGTTAGAGCATCCTCCCAATACACTAAGGTTGTGAGCTCAACCCCTCAGCAGAGCACATGCAAGAATCAACCAATGAATTCATCAATAAGTGGGACAACAAATCCATGTCTCTCTCTCTCTCTCTCTCTCTCTCTCTCTCTCTCCCCCTTCCTCTCTTCCTTCTTCTCTCTCTCTAAAATCAATTTTTTAAAAATTTAAAAGCACATTTATTCTCTCCTTTCGTCTGAATGCCCAGCCGGCAGAGATGAGCATACCTTGGTTGCGGGCACATCCCCAGTGGGAGGTGTGCAGGAAGCAGCTGATCGATGTTTCTCTCTCATCGATGTTTCTGGCTTTCTATCCCTCTCCCTTCCTCTCTGTAAAAAAATAAAAAAAAAATATTAAAAAAAAAAAAAAAGGTAAGAGGTGCAGGGTGGGGGGATTGATCCAGGCAGAGGAGTGGCGAGTGTGAAGACCACACCCGGGCAGAAGGTGGACAGGGACCAACCTGCGCCTTCTAGGACGGTGTCATTCCTTCCGCGAGGACTGGGGAGCATTGGAGGGCTGTTGCTGTTGTTTTAACATCTTTTTATTGATTCCAGAGAGGAAGGGAGAGGGAGAGAGAAACATCAATGATGAGAGAGAATCATTGGTTGGCTGCCTCCTGCACGCCCCCCTGGGGATTAAGCTGGCAACCCGGGCATGTGCCCTTGACCTGGAATCGAACCCAGGACCTGTCAGTCTGAAGGCCGATGCTCTGTCCACTGAGCCAAACTGGCCAGGGTTTATTGGAAGGTTCTGATCCGGGTGAGACGTGACCGGTCCCCTGGCTGCACGTGGAGAGCTCACTAGACTAGTCAGGGCCCAGCGAGGCAGGCACCGCGCTCTGGGGGCCTGTGTGTGGGTAAGAGCCTGGGAGAGGGGGTGGCGTTGTTTCATCATCGGGCCTTCCGCAGCCCTTACTCAGGACATCCGGCTGTTATTTATAGCTGAAGGGCCCTGGGAGTTGAGAAACACTTCAAGGAATTTTCTGCTCTGCATGCAGCCAAAAGCGGCCGGGCAGTAGGCGCCTTGGAACAGCAACACAAGCCCCAGACAGATAAGCAATGGAGGCCCTTCACCTCTCCTGGCCCCGGAGCCCAAGCTGCACCGCACGGGGGCAACCAGGGACTCCAGGGCCCCAGAACTGACTCATGGCAGTTACATAACCAAGGCCTGGTCCGCTGCCAGACGTTTCCGACCTCTGACCCTTGATTATCTAGCTTTTCTGGACATCGGCCTAATTTTCCAAATGGGAGCCTGGCTGGAAGCTAGGGTTGATAAGTGGTAGCGTTGGTGAAGGACGGGCTTTTCCAGAACAGGAAGGTGGCTGATTTGGGGGCATCGTTTGTGCCCGCCGCCTCCAGGCAGTCTCCCCTGATTTCTCACTGCCCAGCTGGTCTCTTCCATCCTTGTTTCTTTCTTTTTTTTTTTTAAACGGCCGTTTATTCGAACTGAAAGGCATCGATACATAGTGCAAACGTTTCTTTGGTAATGAACTGGTTACAAGGAACACAGATAAGGCATCTGGCTGCTGCAACAGTGAGGAAAGTAAATACACATGTACACCTCGCTTCCCACCACGGCGACCCCCGCGGCGCGTCCTCGTTTATTTCACCCATCACCGCTTCTCTGGCAGGTGGCTTGCTCTTTGAACATACTAGAAGCTTCTGAAAGACAGGACCTGTGCCTTTTCACACGTAGGCTCCCACATAGTAGGTGTGCTCCTTGCTCAGCAGGTGCTCTAACCCAAACCACCAGATGAATTCGTACAGCTCCCCGCCCCCCTGGAATGCCCCTTCTGGTGTCCGAAGGTCACCTCAGGCTCATCGAGGCAGAACCGCAGCCTCCGGAGATCCTCCTCCCAAACCTGTTCTTCTTGCGGCCAAGTCCAGCTCAGACCACAACCCCGTCGGCCGGCTGCTCAGGTCCGCACAGCTGAGCTCACGCCCGACTCTTCCCTCTCCTCATCCCCTGTAAAGCCCCCCTTGGCGAGACCCCCGGGGCTGTCAGCTCGACCTGCTGAGTCGGACCCTCTTTCTCCATCTCCAACGCCCCACTGAGACCGTGTCTCCCAGGCAGGCTGCGCCCATACCTCCCAGCTCCCAGCTAGCCCCACCCTATAGTCCATTCCCACAGCAGCCAGCGAGGGCGTTCTTTTATTTTAAAAATACATATATTAAAGCCCTGACCGGTTTGGCTCAGTGGATAGAGCGTCGGCCTGCAGACTCAAGGGTCCCAGGTTCGATTCCGGTCAAGGGCATGTACCTTGGTTGCGGGCACATACCCAGTAGGGGGTGTGCAGGAGGCAGCTGATGGGTGTTTCTCTCTCATCGATGTTTCTAACTCTCTATCCCTCTCCTTTCCTCTCTGTGGAAAAATCAATAAAATATATTTTAAAAAATATATATATAAAATATTTTTATTGATTTCAGAGAGAGAGAGAGAAAATCAATGATGAGAGAGAAACATAATTGATCGGCTGCCTCCCGCACACCCCCTACTGGGGACTGAGCCCACAACCCGGGCGTGTGCCCTGACCGGGAATTGAACCCTGACCTCCTGGTTCAGAGGTCCACGCTCAATTCACTGAGCCCCCCGGCAGGGTGAGTGTGTTTTAACTGGGCTTAGGACACTTGTAGGTCTGCAGAAAACCTGTGGAGGTGGCACGCAGTTCCTCCACCCTGTCCCCAGTCCCCCCGTATTCACATCTTTGATTTGTATGATCCATTTGCCCCAGTATCAACACATTGTTATCAACAGAAGCCCACACATTATTCAGGATTTCCGGGGGCCCCCATGTCTTTCTCCTGTCCCAGGAGCCCGTCTGGGACACCTCGCTACCTGTGGCCATCGTGTCCCCTCATGGCGGCGACAGTTCTCAGACGTCCCTTGTCGTGGTGACTTGCCCAGAGGAGGCCTGTCCTCAGTTGGAATTTGATGTTTTTCTCATGACTGGGGCTGTGGGTCATGGGGAAGAAGGCACTGGGCAGAATGCCACTCTCACCACGTCACGGCCAAGGGACATACTGCCAACGCGATTTGTCACTCACGCTGGGGCGTGTCTGCCAGGTGTTTGCACGTGAGGTCCCTCCTGCCCCCACTTCCATACCGTCCCGCGCTGAGGGAGCGGGAACGGCCGAGCACCCAACACCGTGGACCAGCCCCTCCCGGTCAAACCCCGGGCAGCTCCTCCTGCCCCCGGGATGAAGCTGACCTCCTGGCCCTGGCCGGTGTGGCTCAGTGGTAGAGCCCACACACCGAAGGGTCTCGGGTTCGATGGCTGGGCAAGGGCACACACCTGGGTAGCAGGTTCGATCCTCAGCCCCAGGTCCCTCCCTCCCTTCCACTCCCTCTGAAAAAAACCTGTGGAAAGCCTGTCACCAAGGCCAGGCCGGTGAGGACGCGGTGAGAGGGCGCTGGCTGTAGCCGGAAGGGGTTCGCACAGTCACTGCAGCTGCGGGCACCTCGATCCTGGACTTACAGCCCCCAGGACTGTGAGAAGTAATTGTCTTGTTGTTTAAGCCAAAAAAGTACATAAATTTAAAAAAGGGCAAGAATAGCCTCGGGAGAGGATTTAGGAAAAAATTAAAAAGTCGTCATCAAGCTTGAAAATGCTTACAAGGGAGAGAGGGCCCAAGAAAGCAACACCGCGGATTGGAGAGAACGAAGCAGCCGAGAGCTCTCCGAGGAGGTTCTGCGAGAGGTGGGAACAGCAGGAGCCAAACGGAGGAGAACTTGAAGGCTCCAGGAGACGTTCCCTTACACCTTTGTTTGGAATTTCGGACAGAATGGGGCGGGGAATTGTGAGAAGAGATAGTTGCCTGGGAATGATCCAGAACTGATGAAAAGATGTCAACCTACAGGTCTGAAGAGGCCAAATATTTGCCGAGTGACTAAGTGGATGGGAGATTCCGCGATTCGTGTGCCCTGCCCCGCCTCGCCCTTAGCCCTGGGCCTCAGTGGGTGGGAAGCCCCCCACCGCCTCTCCCGCGCTCGGCGCCCGTGGGAGCCAGTCCGCGGAACTGAGCCCTGCCAGCCCCGTGCCTCCTGTGCCAGATGTCCTTCACCCACTGCTCGGCCCCTGTTGCCTGCCTCCTAGTTGCCGCTCAGGCTTAAAATAGACAGGAATGCAGCCCAGCTACCGTGCTGTGACCAGCCCAGCCTGCAACCCAGAACCTGCCCCTCGGGGAACAGGAGCAGCTAAACCTCCTTGGCCGCCTTTCTTTCTTGGAACAAAGGGAAGCATTTCACACCAGAAAAACCACCCAGTACCCTTCCAGCCAGAGGCGAGGCGGGGAAGACAAGACGGTGAGGAAGGGTTTGTGTTGTCTTCCCTCTGTGGTGCCTCAGGGACCCGGCCACCACCCAGACTAGGCCCTGACCCCCACCCCCCAGCTGACCTGTCAAGGAGCCATGCTTTTCTAGAAATAGAATTAATGCCTTATTTCTGCAGCAAAGGAACTGAGGCGGGAATTAGCCCTATTCTCCAGATGGGAAAACGGAGGTCCCAGAGCAAAGCAATTTGCTTTTCTTGTCAGTTGCCAGAACCCAGGTTCTCCGGTTCCCAGACCAGCTGTGTCCTCGCCTGCCACCTCCAAGCAGGCGCCTGCTGTGTCTGAACAGGGCCACCAGACTCTGCAGGGGACAGTCGTCTGGGGTTCCCGACCCCAGGAGAGGACAGGTCACTGGCAAGGACAGGGCACACTGGAGGGAAGGTTTCAGGCAGCTCACAAAGGAGAACGTGAAACGCACAGGTTGACGGAGAGCGAACGAAGCCGGGGGTCCCCACGTGGAGTCAGGCACATGCTTCATAGCCCTTCGCTTTCCTGGGCGCCACAGAGGTTTCAGATTTTACAGAGTGAAGGCCAGACCCTCCCCGGCCGGGAGATGACCCCTGGCTTCGTTGCCGTGTCCTGGGACCCAGGCCGAGGCCCGCCGGACGGATCGCACGCCCCAGCACGCATGAACCTTGAACAGATTGCGCAAAGCGAAAGAAGCCGGCCACGAAAGCACAGTATGTATTGTGTGATCTTCTCGTGTGAAATATCAAACAGGCAACGTCACAGACAGAAAGGCGGGTGGAGGCTGCGGGGCTGGGGGCCAGGAGACCGGGAGTTGGTGAGTGGGGACAGTGTCGGTTCGGGTGATGCAAATGTCCCGGAGACAGATGGCGGCCACGGTAGCGCAGCCACGTGAATGTGCTTAATGCCACTGAGCCGCCGATTTCAAGCCGGTTAAAGTGGGACATTTTATGTATATTTTTCTACAATACAGAAATATTTTTAAAAGTGTGAGGTAGCTGAAGTAGTTCTCTAGGTATCAACATAGATGGATCTCAAGGCAGAGAAGGGAGAATATTGCATAATATGATGTTATTTGGGCTTTTAGGATGTTAGTGTGTTTTTTAACAACAACAACAAAAAATCCACCAAGCCCGGCCACTGTGGCTCAGTGGTTGAGCGTTGACCTATGAACCAGGCGGTCACAGTTCCATTCCCGGTCAGGGCGTTGACCTATGAACCAGGCGGTCACAGTTCCATTCCCGCTCAGGGCACATGCCCTGTTTGTGGGCTCCATCCCCAGTGTGGGGCATGCAGGAGGCAGCCGATCAATGATTCCCTCTCATCATTGATGTTTTTTTCTTTTTTTAAAAAAAATATCTTTTTATTGATTTCATAATGGAAGGGAGAGGGGGAGAGAGAGGAACAAACCAGAAGGTCCTCCTCTTTTATCTCCTAACATGTCCACTGTGCTTTGAGATGGAAGTTAAACGAGGGAATGTGCTTGGCTACATGCAGAGGGTGTACACTCCACGTCGAATCCTTCGGAGAGTCCTGTTGCCTTTGAACTATGCCCTTATCGGGCCACTTCCTGTCGCCTGCACCTGCTACCACTGTTTCCATCATAGCA